TGTTACTTTCATTTTGAGAATTTTCTTTTGGAAACTTTAATTCCTCTTTTTCTGGATGTAAATCACATTTTTTTGGATGATTGTTTCCTCTGGTATTAGATGCAGTGCAGCTGGAAGGATTTTTACTGAAACTTTTTTAGTTTTGGACATTTGTTATGATGTGTAACTATGGCAACAAGGCTGTTTTCTACAACCAACAGCAGCTGATTAACATCTCAAAAGCTCTAATAATATCTCAACTACAGCCCCAAATCTCAAGTGAGTTGAAAAGGATGTTCTGTGGATGCATTCTCATCTACCTGCCAGCTGTGCTCGAGTGCCTGATCACTGAGATCCTGGAACTAGCAGGAAACACGGCTCATGACAGCGGAAGGACAGGATCGTCCCTCAGCACCTACAGTTGGCTGTCCGCAGCGACGAGGAGCTCGGCAGACTACTGGGAGGAGTGGCCATCGCTCTGGGAGGAGTTCAGCCCAGCATTCAGGCGGTCCTACAGCCCGAGGGAACCGAGATGCCAGCCGAGTCTGGGTGGACGGATCAGACGGCATCTGCAGCCAGTTTCTTAGGATCCACTGTGGAATGGACCTTTACAAGAGATTCTTCCTGTTTACAGCCATCAGTGTCTATAACATCTCTTAATGAAATGAGGATCATGTTACAACAACAAATAATTTCCCTCTGGGATTAATAAAGTATTTTTGAATTGTATTGAATTCTGAATTGAATTAGATAGGTCTGTTAGGTAAACATGCCAGAGCTATGGGATAAGTGCATCTTGAGCTTTGGTGCAGATGTTTCATCCTTTGAGAAGCAGGAACTGCTGCAACAACAACGACAACAACAAAAAAACAACTCAATCTATCTCTGCACAACAGATTCACGCACAACTGCACGTTGCATGCCATCAAACAGCTGGCTCATTTGAAGGTAGTTAAGCATAGTTGTCAGAAACTCTGGCCTGGGGCCAACAGTTGCTATAGAAACAGGACAAATGTACAGTATCCCCCACCACTAAAGCCCCCTCCTTACAGTTTCCTATGCCACCCTGCAATCCCCTCCTCACGCTGTGATCCTCTGCTGCCAGCACCGATCCAGTGCTGCTGGTAAAAATAGCAAGAATCAGTACATCCATATTTCATAGAGAAAGGCCGCGGTCTTCACAAGATTGCATCTACGCCTAAACCCTCCCGAGGCAATGTTTATTTATTTATTTACATTTTGTTAAGTAGATTTGGGATAATTTGTCTCTCCCAGTGAAAATTTGAGACAATGACAAGTCTGGAAATGAGTTTTGCCAGTTCCCCCCTGAGAACATATTCATAAACCTGAACACCAAAACCAGAATGAAAGTGGAGGGGGAGGGCTGAGGAGGGGGCGCAGGGTTGAAACAGCAGCAGACAAAAAGTACAGTGGAGGTGAGCGGTGATTGCAGAGGGATCAGAGGGAGCGATGTGCTAAATTGATGTGGTGGTGTCAGTTATTGCTCCGAGGTGTCGCTCAGTGTGTGCGCAGGCACATAATGGCACCGTGCTGTACAACTGCTTTATGAGCCCCCGAAAAGCAGAAGACACCTTGTTAATATCAAGAAGAAAAAGTATCCATCCTTCTAAGAACATGTTTGTTCAGCAGCGTGGGAAATAGACCATTTTACAGCCCACTGCAGAAGACAAAAGGGCAATAATGCTTATGCCCTTGTCTCTGTATGAGCAAAATATCTGATGGATGGATGGATGGATGGATGGATGGATGGATGGATGGATGGAT